TATTTCATCAAAATTCAAAAATATTTTACTAAAAGTGCATCAAGAAAGTAATCAAATTTTGAGTACTATCAAAAATGTAATAGCAGATCTATCAAAAATGAAACTTTTGCAACCGTGATAATCTGATAACGTAACTAAGAAAACTAGCAATCGAGAGTAAAGACGATTAGTATCCACCAAAATAACCCAAAGCCCCAACCTTAATAATCAACAACTCACCTCAGTAACCCTAAACTCGAACCAAGTTAATCCTCGCCTCTTTCAAGCCTTCCAAGTTAGGGTTACATTCTAGTTGGATTTTTGGTTTATTTGGTGTAGAATAGTTAGTCCCGAACCAACCTTCCGAGTTTTATCTAAACCTTTACAACACCCCAAAAAAATAAGGAAAAAATGATTCGACAAAACTATATATCTCTAAAAAACCATATATCGATTTCTCTAAAAACAGTGCATAAGCCGTAATAGTTTCGCCTGCCTATTTAGCAACACATAAGGCGTAATAAATATAAAGCGAGCTAGTGAAATCTGCTATGTAGATTACCTGAGGGCAGTGCTGTCACGGGACTGGAAGTCCCGAACATGTCCGCCAAATTTTTTCGTCCCGGACAATTAAAATTATAATAAGAACAGCAATCAATTGTTCGATAAACCATATGACATGGGACATTGTCCGGGACTGTCGCGTCCGCGCAATTTGACAGGACAACGTCCGCGTACAACACTGCCTGGAGGGTGAAATCCGCTTTTTGTGTAATAAACTCGGATTTCACCCTAACTCTAATCCTAACTCAGATTTTACATAAAAATCTTTTTGATTTCTTGACGTACTGTACAAGCGCACGTAGTTCAAATCAAGGATGGCTATTCAAAATATTATTGAATCCATTAGCATTGCAGACTATCTGCTCATTTTTATCCTAATCTTAATTATTCATATCTTAAACTTTTATTATAAATACTTTACTCGTTCAAATCCACTCTCTGACATTTCTTTGATTTCATTTCTTCTCTTGTTAATCATACCAATCAATTCTTTAAACACGTAATCACGATTATTTAAATAAGAATTTGAAAGATTTCTGATTATTGGAAAGTAAAAGGGCCAAAAAACGTGAATAATAAAGTACTTTCAAGGAATTTTATGAGTGCTTTTTTTGGTGGAACAGATACTGTGCGTATTACTTTTTTCATTTATATTAAATATTTGTTCATTATTATATATTAAAATCTATTTACTTTATATTCTAGACTGCAAATGCATTCTGCTTTGTAACTTACTATCTTTGTAAACATCCACACGTAAAGCGAAAAATGCTTTCAGAAATTGATTCTATTTTACCTAAATCCTCTGATAAATTTTACGTATCGCATGATAATCTAAAAAAACTAAAATATTGTGAAGCCATAATTAAAGAAACAAGTCGTGTAATGACGGTGGTTAATTTCACGATACGATACATGACTAGTGAGTGTGAAATTGCAGGATTCAAATGGCCTGCTGGTACCAGAGTGTCCAGCTATTTCTAGCATCTAAAATAGCACTAGCGATATTTTGACAACCACATAACCAAATTCGACCGAAATTGTTTTACTTTAATTCTACATGTTTATAGAATTAAAATAAAACAATTTCAGTCGAATTTAGTTATTTAGTTATCATAATATCTCTAGTGCTATTTTAGATGCTAGAAATAGCTGGACACTCTGGCTGGTACACATTTTATTTTGAATATTGCAGGATACATGGTTATCCAGATTTTTGACCTAATCCTGAAGTTTTCGATCCGGATAGGTTTTACAATGATAATGATGATAAAGATAAATCAGCTTTTATGATGTTTGGTGTAGGTAAACGTTCTTGCCCTGGAAATGATTGAGCTACTTTTATTAATGGCATTAATATATAAAAATTATAATATTGAATTAGGGAATATTCATGAACCATTAAACCTTTTTACTATAATTGTCAAGAGTTAATAGTCAGAATTAGCCCTCGAATTTACCTATAAGAAATGCAGTCTGCGTTAAGGATATTATTGGGAGAATTATCCTGATTATAAGTTAGAATAGGTGATAATCGTAAGGTTTAATTCTCGCTCAATGGATATTTGCTTCTAACACTAGTCAAAAAAGGTTAATATTTATTATTAATTTAGCTAGCTAATAATAAAGCAGGCGCGATATTATTAACTACTGTACTTTTAAAAAAAATTGGTATAAAATTAGTTTTAAAAATTTTGGTTTGTTCTATTATTTTGTGAATAACTCAAACTACGAAGAACATATTTTGGTTTTATCCCTTGAGTATACTAAGCTATGTTTACTTTTGTAAAATAATGTTAATAGCAATTATTGTAAACGTGATTGTTCATTTTAAATACATATAGTAAAAAAAGTCTTACTAATCAAAAGTAGATAAGTTTATTTTTAAATGCATTCATTAATTATATTTTTTCTTTACTACGTATCTAAAATATTTTTATAGCTGCTATGATAGTACTGTATGCATATCTAAAATACAAGTTTTAGATCAAAATTACGAGTATATATACTGTATATTCAGACACTCAATTTCGTCGCCACCTAATCCAAGTTTTCTAAGAAATTATCGTTATTACTTCCATATTCCATATATTCAGAACGAGTTATCAAACTGGCGTTGACACGATTTTTTTTTACAAATATCAAAGTAAATACGGAAAGATTTATTATAACAAAAGATGAGAATTGTCTTTTACTCTTATGGCATTCAAACTTAAACCTCAAATTCCGATGGTGCAAGACGTATAAATCTTTTTTCTAAAAAAAATAATAAATAATATATGATACAATATATACAGTATATATTAAAACCTGCTCTCTCGGCGAAAATGATAAAATAATGTTTGATAATCGATTTAAACTCCACCCACTAATACGATATTTCTGTAAAATAATCCATGCAAATCTAACTTGAATTGATGAACCGTGAATATAAACCCAAATTACTGTCGTCAGTTACCACCAATAATCGTTTTTTTTTACTGATAAGATTTTTTTTATTTCCTTACCAAGGTGTGTGATGTTAATTTCCTCCACATCACTTCAGGAATTCCCGTCTGATTTCATACCTACAAGAATAAAATAGCCCATGAACAATTCATTCCACACTATTTAACTTATAACATAATATACATGAATACCGATGACAGATGGATTAAATAATATTGAGCATGAAACGTTCGTTATTATTAATTATAAATAAACCTTTGTTTTATATCTGCAGAAATCACATAATTAGGAAACTTGACTATTTTTTTAGCCGCGAAAATGGTGTGCGAATGAAGAAAATGTCATAAATATCGTAGAATTGCACGGAATGTATTCAAATACTGCAGAATTGGTTAAAAAATTTTTTCCCTTTTTTGTACGTATTAGTGTTAGACTCTTATCTGTTAAATCATCACCCCTGCGTCAGGGGAGCGTGCACGAAAAACATTGGCACACGCTTTAAGATTTGGGGTTACACTGGCTGCGTTGAGAGCCAGGAATCAATTTTATTGAAATGATTGTGGAGCTGGACAGATATGGATATTAATAGGGTCTGAAACGTTGATTATCCCGAATGATTAGCAATAGTAATTGCGCTGGGAATCGCAGTAACAGCCCAGGTAAGCATTAAATAAGCATGAATGGCTTAAAATTCAGCCGGTGGTTTCCCGCCTGCCGCAGCAGGCCGGCTGTTAGAATGGTGGAATCAGGTGCTTGTTCTTGCTGCAATAGTTGGTCAAATTGTGGAGGGTTAGAGAGGGGCGAAAAACTAAATTTGAAATTTTCAGGATAGAGTTTGTTAGAAATGAGGCTGAGGTATTTATTGAGTGGAATTGGGTGGCTTGTATTAGCGTGCCATTATTGAGTGTGGTGACACGCATGATTTATGGGGCTTGTGTACTGATGCGTTAGTTGTGGCATGGGGCTTGTGTACTGTGACTGCAGATCTGCTACTGATTTAGCGAATCATTGACTATTGGTCAATACATATTAATAATCTAGGTTAGATCATCAACCAATCGTAGCGTTGCTGACTAACGAGACTTGGAGATGAAAACCGGACTTAGAAACCATGCCTTTTAAAATAAGAGTTATTCACCAATGTATACTTTTATGTGGGGTCATTGTATTCCCTTTACTACAGGCTTTTAATCCAAGTTACCTTAAAGTTGCCGTCCTTGTTTTTATGCTTATTTTTTTGTTGTCAAGTGCTGATCAGTTGAACATTAAAGGATCGTTTAAGTTCATAATTTCATTTTTAAAACTCTTCGGGAATAATGTTCAACGAAGTCAATTGAACTCATTTTACGAGGATCAATCTGAAGGTTTGTTATACAAAATATCTTATATGCACTGTCAAAGTTCAGAACAACTTAGTTTATAATGGGTATATCGAATTTATTTTAATTTTAATTTTAATCAGTGTAAATATATTTTGTCATAGTCTAATTTATATAAATAATCTTACCTAATAGCTCAAGTTCCTATTTCAGTGGATAATGTTGAAGCAGATCGATCACAGTTTTCGGTGCTGAGCTTGAATTCAACTGGAAATAAGTCCTCTTTAAACGAGCGATCGAGAAAACAAATAGCTTTTAAAAATAAAATGCGTTTTGGAGATAATACTTCTCTTAACATTAAGGAAGGAGCGACGCAACTTATATCTTTCTCCACGTGTGATCCAAGCCCCTTACAGGTTTCTAATGATATCTTACCTGAAGGATCAGGTTTAAACTTTAAGCCGGCTTTATCTAATACTATACCCAATAGTGTAAAAAATTTGTATGTCTCCTGCAAATATTCTTTATAAAATGATATTGAATTATTACCCATACTACTTAAATTCTCACCATTCTGTGGATCAATCATTTAATTTGAACAGAACACAGAGTCAACCATTTCAATATTATTTATGCTTCGATGTTGAAGCTACATGCGAACAAGGTGGTGGTTTTGATTATAAGAATGAAATCATAGAATTTCCCATTTTATTAATTGAAAGTAAAACATTTAACGTAGTAAGTATGATTAATAATTATTCAAGACACATGCACTCATTCTCATTTTTATTAAGTTATCCTTATTCTTATTTTAAGGTTGATGTATTTCATTCTTATGTCAAACCAAGTAATAATCCAGTATTATCAAAGTTTTGTATAGAATTGACCGGAATACCTCAAGTATGCGATTTTCTTTGTCAATTTTTTGTTTATTATTCTTGTTCACTTATATTGATTGATTGATTGTTTGTTTGTTTGTTTTTTTTTTTATTGTAAGTCAACGATAGACATTAGTCCCTCATTTCCTGAAATGCTGTGCAAATTTCAAGAATTCTTACACAGTCATCAGGTTTTTATTACGCATCAGGTTTTTTTTTAATTAAATCCAACTTACTTATATAACATATAAATTCATTAGCTCTTTAACGAGAAAAGTTGCTCCTTCTTAACTGATGGTAAGATCGTGTCTATGTTTATATTTAATAACGACTCATTTTAAAGTTTGTATTATTATTTGTATTTAAGGTCCATGGGATATTCGTGATTTCATCACAAAACAATGTAAGATTTCAAAAATACACAGACCAACATACTTTTCTCTTCCATGGGTAGACATTAGAACTATGTTTGCAAAGTTTTATCATTGTAGGACTCGAAATATTCCTAGCATGTTAGCACATTATGGTTTAAAGTTTGAGGGACATGAACATTCAGGAATTGATGATGCAAAAAATTTAGCAATCATTGCCAAGCGTTTATGGGAAGATGGGGCTGTCTTTAGGACTAATCGGAAATTACAAAGATAAATTTTGGAGTAGTTTTAGTTAGTAGGCAATTTAGTTTCTAAATTATTTTATTGAATCAAGAAATAATATTAACAGTTTAATAAAGTTTTTATAATTTTTGAAATTGCGCATTAATTCTCGTTCTTTCATCAATTCTCATTCTTTCATGTATCATACAAAGTTGTGCATTCATCCAAAATTGTGCATTAATTTTCGTTCTTTTATATTACATAAGATACTCGCTATATTATACGTATCGTAATTTACTACTCGACTTTTAGACCGATTTATATAAAGTGGCCATATCTGATATAGGTTTATATTTGTTAGGCGAAACTGTTTTACAAAAATGGCGAAAGACGAAACCTAAACCCAAAAAAAGCAAAACTGACGAAACTCTGGCGAAAGGCGAAAGACGAAAGTCGAAAACCCTGGCGAAAGACGAAACCTCTGATTAAAGGTGAACCAATGAAAGTTAAACCCTGGTGAAGATGAAACGACTGGTATCTGAACTTTAATAAAGGAGATAAGCATTGTTATTGAAAGATAGTTCTTTAAACTCTGAACGAAGACACCTCGGCAACTACCTAATCAAATTCAGCGAAATTTTTTTTATTTTAATTCTATGAATTTGCAAAAATTTTTCATCGAAATTAATTAGGTATTTGTCAAGATATAAAGTTCGAAAGTTAGCAAACAATTCAAACTGTCTAAAATAGAAAATTTTGAACATCCGCCTGATAAAATTTAATAAACATTTTTTATTGTCATTTTTTAAATCTGTAGAATAGAAAAAAAAAATTTCTATCGAATTTGGTCCAGTAGTTTCGTTAAAAAATTATAGTAAGCTTATTTTATTAGAAGCTTTGAGATGTTTTACTATGAGCAATGACTTCTCTATAACCGTTTAATCAATCAGTGAAATTTATTTATTTATTCGTTTAATCGAAAATTCGCTAACCAATGGGGTAAAAATGATCGAAAATGCGACGCGTATTTAATTAAATAAAATTTTACGGTTTTAAATGCCAAAACTGACTCTTATATATCTAATAAACTATGAATAACTCAACTTACAGAAGGCGAAATACGCTCGGAACTACATTATGGCCTTTATGCTCGTGATTAGTGGTCACCTAGACCATCTAATGGCAAAGATAACGTTCTAGTCTCCGACTTTATATGCATATTAGCGTTATACTTAATCATCGCCAATTTTATCTAAGAGTAGTTCAAGGTGATGAAAATCGATTGCAACCTGGATTTGTCTGTGGTAGCGAAACAAGTAAGGTTTATTCAACGCCTTTTCAAGCTATTAACAGCATATATCACATAATTTTTGGAAAAAAGACAAAGACAGCTTATTCAGGGCTCTCGATTCTTGGATTTAATGACAAAAAAATAATCGATAAATTGCTAACTGCTATAGCATTTATGCCTATCTTTTTAAATATTGGAAATTATGTTGTAGTGGTATCAGAAATTGAAGACCAAAAATTTACATTATCAATACTAACAAAAAAGAGCAAAAGAACTTTCACCTTACAAAAAATAAAATAATATATACACACTAGATTTTTACAAAGAAGATCAACTATTATATACCCACCTACTTATAAATTGAATAAAACTAACTTGCATGCTTGGAAAGCAATATTACATGCATGTGAATACACCAACATAATACTGTATTCTAAATAGAAAATAAAAAAGAATTTTGAAGTTAATTAGAAGATTTAATTACAGATAAAGCAAATTTAAAAATGTTATATGAACTTGAGAACTTATATATTGATTTAGAAGATTTGGAGGATTCAGAGGATTTGGATGAATTTAGAGAATTCAGAAAATTCAGATAATTTTGAAAGTGTTTTCTGAAGTAGTTTTTGAAATGCTTTAATATCTAATAAATATTGCTCAAATAGAAAAACATGAATATTGTATATTATAGCAGATTGATTTAAATATGCATAGTTTCAAAAAAAAATTTTAGGTTAGTTTAAAATAAAATTTAGAAAATAATATTACTAACAAAAATATAAATAATTTAAACTAGCTATATAATAATAAACCTAATGATTTTATAATTAATAACTCTTTCTGATAATCTTTTTTTCTAAAAAAATTTGAAAAAGTTAAAAACAAAAATTTTATTAGAGTTAATTAAGAAAATTTTTTACAACAATAACAGTTTTTATAAAAGTTAATTAGATTTGCTTACTATATTAGAGATTTCTTTATATATTCTATATACAAACTAAAAGTATTATTATATAAGATAACTAGCAGAAAGTAGAGCTCTTATATAAAAAATTTTAGTAAAGAGCAAAAGAAGAGCTCTTTGTTAACAAAGTTAATAAAAAAAGGCTTAAGAAGAAGAAAAATAAATTATTTTGTCTGTATACTTTCTTAGTCTATAAAAAATATCAATATATTACAAACTTTTTTATACTTATCTTCTATTTCTATTAACAAAAGTAAGGAATCTAAGTTTTTTTTTACAAAAGTTCAGTATTGTTTATTCTTTTTATTTTTAAAAAAATTCTATAAATAGTTATCTCATATAGTAAAAAAAGTTATATATTTTGTTTACTAGTAGTCTTTAATATAATTTTTGTACTACAAATTCTAGAAAATGATAATACAAAACTATTGAAGTACAGGTTTTAAGGATAGAGAATACAATTTGTAAATTATATATAAAACTTATAGTAAAATTTTTTTTAATTAAAAATAAAAAAATATTTAATTAAGTAAATAGCTTTTAAATATTAATTAAAATTTGTAAAATAGGTTTTTTTAATTCTAATAATAATAAATTTATTAAATTTGAATAGATATTTATCAAGATACATATTTTTAAAAATTAGATATCATAAA